GCCCCGTCTTATAGGCAAATAGAAAGAAATTACTGGTAAGACTAATATATATAGGCAAAAATTAGAGGCGTGGGCGTGGGGCAAATGGATAGAGGCATGCTGTGAGTCCAGCTACGTCAAGGAGGCTGAGGCAGGAGTCGTTGACGCCAGGAGTCTGAGCGCTGCTCGTGAGCGAGGCTGACGCCAGGCGGCACTGCCTGTTGCTGGGCAACAGAGGGGACTCTGTCTCAAAAAAAAAAAAAGAAAACCATTTTAATTCCCTGGTTCCCCAAATTTTGTAGAGTGGCGCTGTGATGTTTGGGGACATATTAATTAACTTGTATATCCCATTTAAAATGGTGATAAACTCATTCTTGCTCTTATTAGCCCGGTTGTATATGTTGCCGAGTTATAAGCTCTTAAACTTACACTCTATGTAATTTAATCTGTCTTTCGTATGTATTGGATTACCGATCCACCAGTTCCAGTAAGAAAGTACATGCTATCCACGCAATTTTAGGTTTTTTGCTCTTTTGCTTTCTTTCTGCATATCCGAACCTTATTTTTTATTTATTCACTTTATTTTTGAACAGAGTCTCACTCTGGGTCGGCCTGGGCTAGAGGTGAGTGCCGTGAGCGTCCAGGCGCTCGCTGCACAGCAACGCTCGCACTGTCCTGGGGCTCAGCGATCCTCCTGCCTTCGAAGCCTCCCTTTTCCCTTTTGGAGTAGCTGGGACTAAACAGGCATTGCGCCACACGCCTGGGCTAATTTTTTTTCTATATATTTTAGTTGGCCCAATTAATTTCCTTCTAATTTGGTAGAGACGGGGTCTCGTCTTGCTCAGGCCCGTTTCGAAACCTCCTGACATCCGAGTGAATTAGCCCGCTCGGCTTCCAGATGCGCTAGGGTTTACAGGCCATGACAGCCACCTCGCGCGCGCCACTGTTTATTTTTCATTGCGCCTGTGAGTTATAATTCCCCCAATTGTATCTTTATGGTATCACATTTGGGAGCTTGCCCTATGATCCTTTGGCAGCAGCTCAGTTCCTTCAGGCTGACAGTATGTTAACCCTCTTTGTTAGTATCTGCTGTTTTCAGGCAGCTGACGTATTTCAAAGAACGGTGGAAATGATCATTGCCCTTTGAGACATTTAACTTTTCAGGCGTATCCGGCTGTTCTCTGTGTCCTGTTTTTGTGCTTTTTTTACAGAATTTCAAATAAGATATAGTGAGCAACTTAGAAGATGAAGCATTGACATGGTTCAGCTGTGGCCAGGCGACACCATATTGTTTTAAAAGGGCGAGGGTGGCTCTAACCTGTCATGCAGCACTCTGGCGAGGGCCGAGGTGGGAGAGTCGGTTCCGAGGTGAGTCTCGAGACCAGGCCTGAGCGCAGAGCGAGCCGCCGGTGCGAGACCCCGCATCTCTACTATAAATGTAGAAACAAGATTATTGGGCACTAAAATATATAGAAAAAATATAGGCGGGCGTCGGTTGCGTCCGGCATGCGCTGTACGTCAGTCTCGGGGAGCCGGGGAGGGAGATGCTTCTGGGTCAGGACTGGTTTCGAAACAGCCTGAGCAAAGTGCGAGCCTCCCCCGTCTCTCCTTAAAGAATAGAAGGAATTTACTGGTAACTATAAAATTATATAGAGAAAAAAAAGTGGATAGAAGCGTGCGTGCTATGCCTTGTAGTCCAGCTACTCGGGAGGAGGCTGAGGCAGGAGGATCGCTCGAGCCCAGAGTCTGAGGTTGCGTGTGAGCGAGGGCTTGACGCAAGCGACACTCATGTTAGCCTGGGCAACAGAGCGGACTCGCTGGGGGGTCTCACTCTTGCTCAGGCTAGTTTCGAACTCCTGACCTCGAGCGATCCTCCCACCTCGGCCTCCCAGAGTGCTGGGATGACAGGCGTGAGCCACCTCGCCCGGCCCATCGGTGGTTTTTAAATCGAAACTCCGTGGTCCCATATCCTTGCTAAACTAGATGCTCTACCGGACGATGCATAGGACATACAAAAGGAAGAGTTTTGGAGGAAGAAGTTCGGGTCCTTCTCAAGAGGCTGTACTATAGAACAGGGTCGGGGACAGCATTCACATCCTCAGGAATTTACATGCCAGTGCAAGTTTGTACAAGTCACAAGAAAAGAGTAAATTGGAAATACCTGGCGATGGAATGAAAACGAGTTCGGGTGTGTCATTCTCAGACTCAGTGGCATGGAGAGATTGTACCTCGATCTTTGTCTAGCGAGAGAACTCCAGAGAGCGCTTTATGGGAATTTGCAAAACCAAAGAGCAGAAGCATGACTTAGTTGTACCTACGGTCTTTCCATTGAAATCTGGCGATTCGTTGATTTTCGTACGGTCTTTCCAATAAAATTTGGGAATGCATTGATTCCATTTGTGGGCATTGGAATCAGTTATCGGTCTTGACTGGGGAAATGATAGATGAAAATCCTATTAGAGGAGTGTTGACTTGACTTGCTCTTAATTCGAGCGAGGGCTAGCTTAGGGACAGAGAAATAGGCTAGACGTCTGATTTATCTGCAAGCAGAACATATAGCCGTCGATGTTTAAAAAAAAAAAAAGGCTACGGGAATTATGGACTGTCAGCCAACTTTTTCAATAGATTATTATTATTATTATTATTATTTTTTGAGACAGAGTCTCGCTTGTTGCCCAGGCTAGAGTGAGTGCTTCGCTCACAGCAGCCTCCAACTCCTGGGCTCAAGCGATCCTCCTGCCTCAGCCTCCCAAGTAGCTGGGACTACAGGCACGTGCCACCACACCCAGCTAATATTTTCTCTATATATATTTTAGTTGGCCGATTAATTTTTCTATTTTTTTATAGTAGAGACGGGGGTCTCGCTCTTGCTCAGGCTGGTCTCGAACTCCTGACCTCGAGCGATCCTCCCACCTCGGCCTCCCAGAGTGCTGGGATGACAGGCGTGAGCCATCGCGCCCATCGGTGGTTTGTAAATCGAAACTCCGTGGTCCCCCACCCAGCACAGATAATAGCATTTTTTAAGTGAGGCTGAGGCACTATAACTAAATCAGTGGTTCTTAGACAAAACAGATAAGCCCTCCCATTTCTCACCCACCATTCTAAAAATTTTGTTTAATAATCTATTGAAGCCGGGCATCGGTGGCTCATGCCTGTAATCCTAGCACTCTGGGAGGCCGAGGCGGGCCGATTGCTCGAGGTCAGGAGTTAGAAACCAGCCCTGAGCAAGAGCGAGACCCGTCTCTATACTAAATAGAAAGAAATTAATTGGCCAACTAATATATATATTAAATTAGCCGGGCATGGTGGCACAGGGATATGGGACCAACCCACGGAGTTTCGATTTACAAACACGAATGGCGCGTGGCTCACGTCCTGCATCCAGCACTCTGGGAGCTAGGGGTGAGGACTCGCTCGAGGCGTCAGGAGTTCGAGACAGCCTGAGCAAGAGCCGAGTACCCATCTCTCTCTTTT